GTTTGGCAGATTGAAGTTTTCTATGTTGGGATTGTGAGAAGTTCAGTAGCCCCTCGATGGGATTGTTCATGTTCGGATTTGCCGTTGAAAAACGGAAATTGTCTTTCCAGGCCCTTAATTGGCGTGATTAAAGGCAAGGGAAATCATCTTTTTCATTGCGTTTCGTCACTCACTCACACACACACACACACACACACACACACNCGATTCGGATGTCACAAGCACATAGTGTGTGTGTGTGCTTTGATTCAGTCCTTTCGTGAGCATCGAACTGCACCACTACAATCCATTTGGGGTGCAGAGAGGGTGGGGTGGGGCGGAACGGTGACAAACGACCAGACAATGAACCACTCTGTTTCTTTCGCGTTTCATCCAAGTCGGTCACCTGATTCATTTCTGGATCTATCGGTTTCGGCATTACTGAGGGTCACGAACTCTGTGCACACATGCAGTCACGGTGCGCTCGTGCGTCCCATAGCCCCCTTGGTCCCTNTGGTCCCTTGGGGTCAGTACGCTACGCTACGTTGCTCTGTCAATCGATCGATCGATCGATCCACCCATCGATCATGAGTGGTGCGTGCACTCGTACGCGTGTCCAATAAAGCATAGTCTGCCCTCGGCATAGTAATACACACACACACACACACAAGGCGTAGATTCAACACAACTCCTTAACAAAAGTGAACTCTGTTTGATGGACATACATTACTGATGATCATCCATACAGGCACTCAGGCAGGCGAGTAGACGTTCACGGACTCGTCTTTTGTGTTGTCTTTTTTTTTCTTCCACATGTGTCGGGACACGAAAGTGTGATGAAGTACTCGAGCAGAAATGCAACACAAGCAACATACACGGAGGTGGAATGGGTGAGAAATAGATAGTGGAAAATCACGTGGATATGATAATGATGATGCGTCCATCTGTTTCTGTCACTGGACCGGTTTGGCACGATCAATTTTTAACATAGAGACGCGTTCTTATCTGTCACGGTTCCTTGGGATCCAGCTAACCATCTTCGCAAATTCGTCGTTTTCAATGCCATAATAATTCCAAACAGGTTTAACTGTTTGAATATTGTCAGTGTTTTGATAGTTGAATAGGACGACACAAAAATCACATCACACAGAAACGGAACTGAGGGATTTCCAATGTTTGAATAGTTCTACAGAACACATTGAGAACAGCAGCAACAACAACAACAAAAACAAAAACACCGCGTGGAGAACAAGCTCATTACATAACATTGAATATGACTAATAACAAGACCATAAAACAGAGGGGCAGAGAAATTCGAATCCTAATGATTCATATCTGGCTCCATACCGGTGTGCTTGCGTGGAGACAAGCTTGTTCGCTACGGTGTTGTTCTTGTTCTCAAACTGAACGTTCATCCCAGCTGTTCTGGTGCGAAAAGGAAACGGTCATACACCATTACGTTTCTCGTTTTTGCACTCCCTAGTTTGTTCAATCAAAAATGGATCTAATCCGTTGCGAAAATATTATTTTCTTCTTGTGCTCATCCACTGAACAGTCTTCACTGTGCACCGCTTACTCTCTCTCGCTGAAGATCCACAAACACCGTACAACTATGGTCATTCGACGTGGTCCAAATAAACGCATAGAAAGATTGATCTATTGGTATTACTATTTATTTAATTTATGAATTACCGCTATGATTCGATGTTTCGTAGATGGATTGGATTGGATGCGACTAACCGCAACAAGCGTGATTTGAGCGTCTTGGTAGTATCTTACAATAAGTAGTATATGAATAGCTAGACAAAATTCCCCCGGACGCACACGACCGGTTTCGTGGTTCTTGTTGGGTACAAGTATATGATCTAGCTGACAAAATCTTATCAGATACGTATACCTGAAGAGCGGTGTTATCAACATTCTACATATTGTAAGACCCAAATATACACAGAACGTTTTCATTGTATTTTAAACCTAACCTAAAATGAGAAATCGGTCACCGTTGAAAATTAGCTAGTATGGTAGCTGCACAGTAAGCACAGTTTTTTTCGGTCATCTTCCTTGTTATTGATTATCTGATTGTGCAAACCATTTTTTGGTCCCCGTGTGTGTGGGGGACGACCAGTCAAAATATTGCCATGTGATACAAAGATAAAGAGAAATTTTGGGCGTTGGTACTGAGTTTCGAACTGAAGTTGATGATCTTAATCGTTTGATCGCGCGAGTTGAATTTCCTTCAGTTGATTCTGATCAATTCATGGCGAGAAAAAGTCGGGGAGATATTGCTACTATGTGAGGTACTACTCACATTTGTGAGTAGTACGCAAAGGGATGCAGTTGGCGGTATCTCACAACGGTCAAAAGTGGACAAGATCTCTTCCGGCGAATTGCCATGTTCAGAATGATACCTGCAAACTGTTCTCTTCATTATCCTATGTGTCGTTAGGGATTGTGACGACATGTTCGAAATAGAGAGACGTCTTGTTATATGTACACCAAATTACGCATACCGTGACTATGATTCGTGAAAAAAGTAATTCTCCGTGAGCCAGCACCGGTCTTCTGAAATTATAACAACTAATAAATACATATATATATTTATATATTTCACACACGTCTGATGCCAGATTGTGTGCCAAACAAATCATGGTACAATAATCTTTATGAAAAAGAAAAACGTTCGACGATTTGCAACTAAGCCGAATACTACCAGTTCCCCTGGCCAAGGCAAGTAAATTTTCTTGAGGAATTCATGTCCGGGGCCTTCGGCCAGCCAAAGCCTAACCCCAAAGGCTGCGGGGCGGTGTGCAACAACCGCAATCCATTGGGAGCCGGTGTCCATTTCATCGAATCATACACCTTTCGGACGGGGTCAAACGTCCAAGGTGCCCAATCAAGCAGGTGACCATTGCCACAACTAATGAAATGATTCGTAGTTATCATTTTGAACACAGTAATTCGCTCAAAGAGGTCTTGCTCACCTTTGACGTCGTTTTGCATACCACGCTCAAATGTGAGTAGTATCTCAGAACACAACACCGTGGCAAATGATGAATTAGAATCACGTATTTCACGAGTTCAGAGAAATGTCTACGCAACTGGCTACAACTAATCATCCAGGAACAATTCATCGAGTTCCGGAAACCGTCAATTGGTTCGCTCACCGATTAGATTGATTATGATATGAATGAACAAATATTTTTGGAGAGTAGTATGGTACTTCCCGGCTTCGTTTTTGTCGCTCGTGCAAATTGCGGATCTCGGGGTCTTTTGACTTGTTCACTCACATCATTTGATTTTGTGTTGAAAACTGTTGTTTGAATTGACCGTTTGTTTTAATGCATCAATTATGTTTTTATGATTGGTCCGTGTAAGACTTTAATTTTGCCCGTCGAACAATCTGATTGGTTCATGGTTATATATATTAACGACTGTGATTCGTTCCCAAATGGGATTTGTGTCCAGTGCACCAAAAGAAAATATATCGAGAGCATATCCTGAAGAACCGATTTTTGACAGATTTCTATCGAACTGTCTGTGCCATCTCCATCCCTTCGCCAGCGCTATTGGTCTCCGACCGAACTGCACGAGTTTCAAGTAGCTTTAGCAACAAATATAGGCCATGTTGTGAAGCGTTCTGTTTCCGCTTCGACGGACATACTTTTAAAAATGTAGACAGTAGAATCTGAAGGATAATGTAAAGCCCTATGATATAGAATCAGGTGACACGAACGTTATCTATCATGGATGGATGTGTGGCCTCAATAACGGAAATTCCGATGGTAGTCAAGGTTCATGCATCATTTTGTTTTTTTTGCACATCTTCATTTCCGTCGTCCACGTGATCTTATCGAGAATCCGAAGCTTTGTACCATGCCAAGATCCTATTCATAGTACCGGTGTTTTCAATTCCCGAATTCAGCTCTCTCTCTCTCTCTAGTTGATTCTTGTAACTTGTGGATTGAACTCTGCACCGGTGCATTCGTGTGACCACATTCTTTGTGATACCTTTCATTTCATGATGATGAACAATATGGCAGTGGCCAAACACATGACCACTTTTGGCCTAGTATTCGTTCACGGGACCGGTGACAGATGTCCGAAGGATTTGATTTGACGAACCATTTGGCGGTTTCACAGGGCTAAGGGGGGGGGGGCTTAATATCCACCTGGAGCAAAATCTCACGAATCAGCTAATTTCTTCTGCTTTTACTCTTTGATTGGCTTCAAATAAATAGGTAGTCAAACCATTTTTTTGAATACAAGTAGATATTCGTGAAAAACCTTGACGTCGCTACAATCGCTGGTTGGGACATGTATTACGCATGTCACCAGATAGGTTGCCACGGCGAGCGATGCTTGCCGAGGTAGATTGCGGTTGGAAAAAGATCAAGCGCGGTTAAACGAGGACTTAGCATGAGGATATGAAAATCTTAACCAAGAGACTGGGTCCCATAGGTCCCGGTAGGCTCCCTGGCTAGGGATCCCAAGATGATGGTTAGAGATACTGAGTGATATGGCTGGGTGTCGTAAATAGTGGCACTCGTGCATCTATTCATCGATTCTTGTAACATCAGTCCAACTAGATTCGCAACATTCCGCTTGAATTTGCTCTCAACAATTCAATTTTCATTCTGTGCTCCCCTATCCCAATGGGCAACAAGAAAACCGGCGCACAAAAATGTGCATAGTTATTAATGGTTGTAAAACCGGAACTAAACTCGTTACAATTGTCCCGTTGTTGAACACATTACCCCCCCCCCAAAAAAAAAAGCGTCAGTTCAACCAGTTCCTATTATTTCCCCATGTTATTGCCCAGTATCGTTTTTTTGTAAGTTGATATCAAACACTGGACAGGTATTGAATCTTACCGTTTTTCAATCGTCTGTACAGTTCGTTATGACATACATTGTAAATCGGACCTGGCAATCTGGTATTTTCACATTCCCATACTTTGTTCACCATGGATTTTAATTGAATGTGTTGTATCATCTTTTTCGTCATTTAAACAATCTGTCCATATGATCCCTGTTCCCACTGTCTTAGTGCGTGAACGTCGTTATCGAAGACGGGATCAGAGTCGAGTGAATGGTGGTACCGGCGGGTCGCATGCTGATGATGTGGACGATGCGGAAAGTCAAGAAGCACTCAGCATCGATTGCGCTTTCGATGGAGCCACGACGGACCACCTCAGTACTCCACGCCACTCCAGCGGGATTGGACAGGTAAACTATTGTATTGAATAGACTGTTTTATTTTCACGTACTGTCGGATTGGAGTAGTATTTCCGGTAAAAAAATCCACTGATGCA